TTGTCTCAGAACGGAAAAAAACAGAGGGAATTACAATTTTAAACATATACTCATTGAACAGGGCTGAACCTAGTTTTAAACAAGAAACAGTACTAAATATAAGGTAATGGATTAACTTAAGCATAGTAACACTGAGTGACTCTGATGTGGGATCCCCTCTGTATGTTGTGAATACGATTTATTACCATTGGTTAATAAAGAAGTTGATTCAGCCTATAGCAGGACAGAATATAGCCAGGCTGGAAAAGATATATAAAGAGAGAGTAGGCAGAGTCAGAGAGAGGCCACATAGGTGCTGAATGAGAGAGACGCAGGACCCTTACCATTAAGGCACAGCCTTGTGCTGATACACAGATTAATAGAAATGGGTTACTTTAAGATGTAAGAGTTAATTAATAAGAAGCCTGAGCTAATAGACCAAGCAGTGTTGTAATTAAAATAGTTTCTATGTGATTATTCGGGTTTGGGCAGCTGGGAAACAAAGAGCAGTCTCTGCCTACATGACTTCACCCACTCTCTCTAGTACATAGTGCATCCCAACTAAAAAAGAACAGAGAAACATCAGAATAAATATCAAATGGACTTAACAGCAATCTATAGAACATTCCATCCAAACACTGCAGAGTACACATTCTCCTCAGCAGCCCCTGGAGCTTTCTCTAAAATAGATCATATTAGGAAACAAAGCAAGTGTCAGCAACGCAGGAAAATTGAAATTACTTCTCATGTCCTATCTGACCACAAGGAAATAAAGCTAGAAATCAACAGGCGAAAACAGAGAAAATTCACAGACTCAGGGAGATTGAACAGCACAGTGCTGGATGATGAATAGGTCACTGAAGAAATCAAGAAAGAAATAAAAAAGTCCTAGAATAAAGAAAATATAACGTGTAAGGTAACAATGAAAGTAGTCCTGACAGAGCATTTCGTAGCTATAAGTACCTACATAAAAAAAACCCAGAGATTTTAAAAAAATAACTTAATGGTGATTTCAGGGCCTGGGAAAAACAAGAAAGTCAAACCCAAAAGGAGAAGACAGAAAGAAACAATCAAGGTCAGGGCAAAATTAATGAAATGGAAATAACACCAACAACAAAATCACTACAAAGAATCAATAAAATGAGTCAGTTCTTTGAAAAGGTAAACAAAATGAGCAAGCCCTTAGCCAAATTAACTAAAGAAAGGAAGAGAAGACCTAGCTATCACCAAATCAACAAGGCGAACATTAAAAACTTATACTTCACCACATTTAGGACCAAGGTTAAACCAAGAAAAGACAAATAATAAACATATCTGTAACAAATAGTAAGGTTAAAAGAGTAACTAAAAAAAAAAAAACCTCCAAACTAAAAAAAGGTCTAGGCTCAAAAGGATCCATTGTGGAACTCTACTGACCTTTGTAAAGGATCCACTGCAGAAGTCTACTGCCCTTTATAAAGGATCCACTGTGGAATTCTACCTGATCTTTATAAACGATTCACTGCGGAATTCTACCTGACCTTTATAAAGGATCCACTGCAGAATTCTACCTGACCTTTATAAAGGATCCACTGCAGAAGTCTACTGACCTTTATAAAGGATCCACTGCGGAATTCTACCTGACCTTTATAAAGGATCCACTGCGGAATTCTACCTGACCTTTATAAAGGATCCACTGCAGAATTCTACCTGACCTTTATAAAGGAATCCACTGCGGAATTCTACTGACCTTTATAAAGGATCCACTGTGGAATTCTACCTGACCTTTGTAAGGGATCCACTAAGAAATTCTACCTGGCCTTTCTAAAGGAAAATTAACAGCAATCCTTCTCAAATTATTCCATAATAGCAACGGAAGAATGCTCTCAAATTCATTTTACAAACTCGGTTTCAATGTGATGCCAAGCGAGGTAACAATGTAATTAACAACAGGAAACTGAAGCCAATCTGCCACATAAACACAAATTTAGAATTATCAATAAAACAGTTGAAGAAAAACAAGAACATGTTGATCAAAATCATCACTTGGCCAGAAGTTATTTGAGAGATATCCAGTGGCTATGGCCCTATTTAAAGTTGTTTACAGGAGACCCTGAGCCACTTAGTGAGATTCTTAAGGGGAGTAGTGACCCTACTTCCACCAGACACTTTACAGACGCTGCTAGACAGGTACTAGAGCTGGTGGGACATGCAATACAGAAACAGCAGGTACATTATATCATCTACGATCAACCTTGGCAAGCATGTACTTTATCTAAAAAACTTACTCCCATGGCAGTATTATGGCAAAACGGTCCTCTTTTATAGATACACCTTCCTCTTGCTGATAAATTTATCCAATCGGTTGCTTTATCTCAGGTTGAGCTTGCTCAGCAAGCGCATGCTTTACATCATCAAAATAGTAAAAGTTTAAGGACCCAAGTTGGATTAACAAGAGAAATTGCTTGTCAGACGGTTAAGCAATGTGATGTATGTCCACAATATTTATCTGTACCTCATCAGGGAGCAAATCCTCAAGGCCTGCCTCCTAATCACTTATGGCAAATGATGTTACTCATATTGTAGAATATGACATATCAAGATATGTGCATGTGACAATCAATACATATTCAGGTTTCTTAATGGCTACTGCACAGACTGGAGAAGCTACTAAGCATGTGATAACTCACTGCTAAAAGTGTTTTTCATATACGGGAATTCCTAAAACTATAAAGACAGGGAATAAGTCTGGATAGATTAACAAAGCATTTCAGCAATTTGTTCCCAATGGAATACTGAACATAAAACAGGCATTCCTTATAATCCTCAAGGACAAGTAATTGTGGAGCATGTCCATGGCTTCTTGAAAACACAACTTTAAAAGATAAAAATAGAATTATAACCTCAGTCACTACATAATGCCTTAAATCATGCTTTTTACTCTAAATTTCCTGAATGTGGATGCCCATGAGCAATCTGCTGCGGAAAGACTTTGGCATGATGGCACCAGAGCAACCTTCACTAAAGCAAAAGAGAAAGACCCTGCACTGGATTATGGAGTTGATGGCAAGTTTGTGCTTTTTTTTTTTTTTTTTTTTAAACAGGAGAATAGGCTCGATGGCTTCTTGAACATCTGGTCCAGTATGTGCAGAAGAATGCCAGCCCTGATGATACAGAAGCTGCTGAGGCCTTCCCAGAGGAACTGAAGTGAGATTTCTGAGCCTGTACTCCTGACCCTCTTATGTCATCATGCTGCAGTATGAGAAGGGAAGGAAGAGCTCAGAGATACACAGTGCCTAGCTGCACACCCTTCCTTAACCCTTTATTAACAGAGGCTGGTGGTTAATGCCAGGTAAGACAGTTTCCCTCCAGGCAATCTAAGACAGGATGTGCACGACGGAATGTATGTACTGATGATAATTAAGTCTGGAAAGTAGAAGAAGATGGCCGAAGACAGGCATAGTCATCTGTCCTGTACCAGAAACACAGGCCTTGAAGTGGATCCATTCTACCTTGACTAAAGGTCAGAGAGTTCAAGCCTATTCTTGCTCCTTTAAGGCTATTGAATAGTTTTGACTCTAGGTGTGCCTACTAATAGGATATCTTGACCTAAGGTGTGGTTACTTGGTGTTTTGGGTATTACGATGGTAATCACTTTGCTCCTTGTATCATGAAAAGAAGAGGTCTTGGCTTTCTTCCTATTTTTTGGACTGGGTTTATAAGCATATGAAAAATAAACATGGGAAGATTCAATATTCACTTGATTGCCCTCCCGATACTATTCTGTGTCTCCGTCTTTTTCTTTTGTAACTCTGTTCCTTCTGCCTAAAATTTCTTTTTTTTTTAAATTCTTCTTTTCCTAGTAGAGGGTCATTTTTTTAATATTTATTTATTTATTATGTATACAATATTCTGTCTGTGTGTATGTCTGCAGGCCAGAAGAGGGCACCAGACCTCATTACAGATGGTTGTGAGCCACCATGTGGTTGCTGGGAATTGAACTCAGGACCTTTGGAAGAGCAGGCAATGCTCTTAACCACTGAGCCATCTCTCCAGCCCCTGCCTAAAATTTCTAATCCACACACCCCTACCCTGGAAAGTGCGAACCCCATTGAGGTTGGACCCCGACAGTAACTACAATCCCAGAAGATATGATAGCCTCCTCTAGTTTCCCAGGCACAAGGCATGCACACAGTAGACATTCATACAAAACACCCACACACATAAAGTCAAATATATATTTAAAAATATAAAAATGATTATTATAATCACCTAAATAGATGGCCTTTGATAAGATAAAAAAAGAGCTTTGATAAAATCCAAAATCCTTTCATGATAATAATGAAGACATTATAGATGGAGGAAGCATACTCAACATAATAAATATATATGACAAACTTAGAGCCAACATCATGTTACCATGGAGGAAAATCTCAACCAGGAACAAAATAAGGACAACCATTTTCTCTATTCCTGTTCAATATAGTACTTGAAGTCTTAGCTAGAGTAACAGGACAAGAAAAAGAAATAAGAGATCCCTTATATACAAATAGGAAAGAAAAAGTTAAAGTATTCTTATGTACAGGTGAAATGATCTCTATATAAAAGACACTAAAGACTCTACCAGAAAACTCTTAGAACCATAACCACGTTGAACAAAGTGTCAAGATGTAACATTAGCATATAAAATCAGTAGCTGGGCAAGGAACAGCTCAATCAGCAAAAGGTTCATTCTTAGCAGGTTTTCAGTTCACTGAATGCTATGTGGACTGGACTGAAACTTTTTTCATAGTTCCCAACATTCAGTTAGTTGGTCAAGTTTTAGCCTACAGTCCCATGACACTTGACCCAAGTTTCCTGAGAGTATGATTGGAAAACTGAAAAAAAAAAAAAACCTGAGCTACTATGTGGATTCTATATCTTATCACAAAGATGCTTGTTACTCCATGTTTATTGCTCCTCTAGTAACAAAAGATAGGAAATGAAATCATCCTAGACATCCATCAACTGATGAATGTTAATAAAAAGTATGGCATATATACCTGAAGGAATTAAAAAAAAAATTATTCAAGGCAGGTTTTCTCCGTGTAGCCCTGGCTGTCCTGAAACTCACTCTGTGGAGCAGGTTGGCATACAACCACCACCCAGCTACATGAAGGAATTTTACTCATCTGTAAAGAAAATGAAATTAGGAAAATTGAGTTAGAAAACATTATATTAAGTGAAGTAACCAATGCTCAGAAAGACGAACACGTGTTCTCTCATGCAGAGACCCTAGCTTCTGATTTTTACATATGTGCGGGCATGAGTACACGTAAACATCAGGAGCCTACAAAAAGAGGCCCTGAGAGGGGAGAAGAAAAGGCTTTAAGGTGAGAAGGAAAGTTGAAAGTGGAAGGGAAATACTGGGGATAGAAAGGGTTAAGCAGGGAATAGGAACAATAAGATAGGGGTGGGGGAGGGGAGAAGAAGGGAGGAAGAAAGAGGAAGAGGAGGAGGGAGGGTCACCCAAACTAAGAATATATGAAAAAAGTCACAAGGAGACTTGATATCTGATAATGCAAATTTTAAAAATAGAGATGGCTCAATAGAGTAAGAGCCCTTGATGCCAAGTGATGACCCAAGTAGTGGAGAACCAGCTCCCATAAGTTGTCCTCTGAACCCCTCTCCATACATGCCATAGCATGAGCATGCCACGCTTCCACACAAAATAAATAAGTAAATGGGGGGGGGGTGAAGGTACCCTAAATGGGAGGATAAAGCTGCTTCCAGAAATCATAAGTTATTAAATGAGAATATTAGTTCCAGGGGCTGGAGAGACGGCTTAGAGGTTAAGAGCACTGACTGCTTGCTCTTTTAGAGGTCCTGAGTTCAATTCCTAGCAGCCACATGGTGGCTCATAACCATCTATAATGAGATATGGTGCCCTCTTCTGGCCTGCAGTCATACAAGCAGATAAACATTATATACATAATAAATAAATAAATCTTAAAAAAAAAAAAAAAACTTAGTTCCAGGGGTGAACTATCACCAGGCTATCAGGGAAGCCTTCTGGGTCTTCAAAACAACATCAGTAATTGCCTACCAGAACTACGGTGTCTTAGTCACTGTTCTATTGCTGCAAAGAGCCACCATGACCAAGAAAACTCTTATAGAAAAAAACATCTAACTGGGGGCTTGCTTACAGTTTCAGAAGTTAGTTCATTATCATCATAGCGGAAAACAGGGGCATGTAGGCAGACATGGTACTAGAGAAGTATCAATATCCTGAGTTAGAGAGAGACTGGGCCTGACACGGGCTTTTGAACACTCAAAGTCCACTCTCAGTGACACACTTCCTCCAACAAAGCCACACCTCCTAATCCTTCTAATTTTTTCAAGGAGTTCTACTCCCCAGGGACTAAACACTCAATTACACGATCCTCTGGTGACCATTCTTATTCAAACTATGACAGACAGTAAGACCCTATGGCTGAAAACACCATGTGCCCTGGTCTTAGGACAGAAATAAATCAAACTGGAACTGAGATGGAAGGTTCTTCAACAGCGAGCTCTCACAATGGTAAAAGGTGCTACTATAGGCTGCTGGGGAAAACTGTCTTACTGAGATGTAGACCTTGCTAGACAAGATGTGCCCACAACTGCATTCTATAGAACTGAGGTTTGCTCCACAGGAGGAAACCCATGTCTGGTTAAAAGCCTGTGGCTGGGAAAATCACAGGTCCTAGTGGGCAAGCTGCAGCTACTGTCCTGCTAACTGGACATGATGTGCCTATCACGGTGTCTTTTAAAAAACTATGTGTAGATAGCGCTGCTGTCAGCTCTAGTCAGAGAAGCCTCTTTTCGCAGTGGTCGGCAGTAACTAACTGCAGAGGCTCATCATAACTGGTCAAAGCGATGCTCAGCCCTCAACAGGCCATCTCAGGCCACCCAAGGTTCTAGGAACACACACAGAGGACAGAGAAAGGATAAGAGACAAAGGAAGAAACCAAGAGTGGTAGAATGCTATCTTCTGGGCATGACATAGTCATGACACTCTTGAACAACTGCACAGGATTGGGCCCACCCACATCTGGACACAAAAGAGAGGAGGAACTCTACCTCTTACTGAAGCAGTTTATAATTACTGGGGGAGGGAAGGAAACTTTTTGTCAGTAGAACTACTGGTAAAATGCCCATGATCCCATAAATAATCCCTCACCCATGCTCAAAAACACACAACCCTGTAAATAATACTTCATCCATGTTCACACACATGACCCTGCAAGTAATCTCTCACCCATGCTCACACACACGCATAACCCTATAAATAATCCCTCATCCATGTTCACACACACACATAACCCTGTAAATAATCCCTTAACCATGCTCACACACACACACACACACACACACACACACAGAAAAGTAGGAGGGCTAGGAAGAAGAAGAAAGTAATCAATGGAATGAGGACAAGAGAGAGTAATAGGGGTGCTGAATATTTTCAAAACTCATGAAAATGTATGAGAATATCATAATGAAAGCTACTACTATGTATAGTTAATATATACTAACAGAAAGATTAAATATATATACTTAATATATATAGAACACATAGCCAAAAACAAAATAAAAAATTAGAATATCTACCTAGACATAATGGCACACACCTTTAATCCCAGCACTTACTTGGGAGGTATAAGCAGGTGGATCTCTATGAGTTCGAGGCCAGCCTGGTCTACACAGTGAGTTTCATGACAGCCAGAGCTACATAGAGAGAACCTGTCTCAAAAACAAAACAAAATATAATGACAAATAAAAATTAGAATACCTGAGACTATCAAAAACATTTTTTAAAAAAAAGACAGTACTAAAGAGATAGCTCAGCAGTGAAAAGCATCTGCTACCCTTGTAGAAACCCAGATTTGATTCCCAGTACCTAACACGGCAACTCACAATCATCTGTAACTCCAGTTCCAAGGGACATGATGCCCTCTTCTGGCCTGAGGACACCACATAGTACACAGACACACAAGGAGGCAAAACACACGTACACATAATAAAAATAGTAACAAGAAACGAAATAAAACAAGGAAAGGTAGGAAAGGAAGAGGGGACCAAAACCTAAGGGAGGAAAAGTAAAAAACAGACCTAAATAAGGCCAATTACATATTATTACAGTAATTATATTATCATTAACATAAACAGTCTTAGCATGTTAATTTCTTTCCTTTTTGTGACAGGATCTTGCTATGTTGCCCAGGCTGGCCTCCAATTTACAATCCTTCTGCCTCAGTCTCCCAAGTGTTTAACATATTAACTTTAACAACCAAACTTCTCACAAAAAGACCCAGTTAGAAGCCAGTGACACGGCTCATTTGTTAAAGGTGCTGCCATCAACACAGACTACCTCAGTTTGATCCCCAGAGCCCATGTGTGGTGGTTTGAAAAAAAAAGGGGGGCCCAAAGGGAGTGGGAGTGGCACTATTAAGAGGTATGACTTTGTTGGAGTAGGTGTGTCACTGTGGGGGCAGGCTATGAGGTCTCTTCAGCTCCAGCTTCCCTCAGTGTGACAGTCAGTCAACTTCCTGTTGCCTCTGAGGCAAGATGTAAGAACTCTCAGTTCCAGTACCACATGTGCCTGCACACCATCATGCTCCCCACCATGATGATAATGGACTGAACCTCCAAAACTGTAAGCAAGTCACCCAATTAAATGTTTTTCTTATAAGAGTTGCCATGGACATGATGTCTCTTCACAGCAACAGAAACCTTAACTAAGACACCTCATGACAGAGGAAGCTAAGCAACTCCACAAAGTTGCCCTCTGACCTCCACATGTGTGTTGCAACATACATGTCGTACATGTGTATATATACAAAATAAATGTAATAAATATATTAAAATGCTATTTAAGTACATGGAGAGCTGGGCCAGCTTATCCATCTACCTGACAAGGTCCGCAAACACACAATTTCATAAACAACTCAAGCATGTAGAGCATATCGAAACAGTCCTTACCCTGGGTTATAGAATAAGTCTTAACGGATTTCAAACAACCAAAATTATAGAAAGTCTATGCTTTGGACATTGAACAAAACTGGAAGTCAGCAACAGAAAGGCAAGTCTCCAAATATTTAAAAACAAAACAATCTTTTATGGGCCCGAGGAGGGACATCTGGAGAGAAATTAGAAAATATTCTAAACTGAATAAAAATGAAAATGCAACATATGAATATTTGTAGTTGCAGTTAAAACTTCTTAGAGCGGTGATCATCAACTTGTGGGTCGTGACCTCCTTGGGTACTGAACAACCTTTTCACAGGTGTGTCACCTAAGACCATCAGAAAATGCAGATATATACATTACAATTTATAACTGTAGCAAAATCACTGTTATGAAGTAGCAAAGAAAATAATTTTACGGTTGGGAGTCACCATATGAGAAACTGTATTAAAGGGTCGCAGCATTAGGAAGGTTGTGAACCACTGGCTTAGAGGGAACACTTTGTAAACTAGGGCGTAGCTCAGTGGTAAAGCATTTGCCTAGCATGAACAAGACTCTGAATCTGACCCCCAGCATCACACTTACACAACTTTCTCAAAAATGTCCTCATTTTGAATTAGTTGTATGTATCTATGGGCACAGTGTAACATTTCAATACATGTACACATGGTGCCATGATCAGATCATGGTAATTAGCATATCCATCAGCTCAAACAGTTATCATTTCTTTGCACTGGACAACATTTGAAGTCCTTTCTACCAGCTTTTTTGAAATGGACTATCATCAACCCATTACCCTGTTATCTACCCTCTTCTGGGATGTTAATCAGTACTTACATGGTGCCTCACAAACATCTGTAACTCCAGTTTCGGGGGACCCAGTGTACCAGAAGATGTTCTGTCTTCCATAGGCACTGCACACATGTTGTGCATAGGCATATACTCAGGCAAAACACCCATACACAAGAAAGAATAACTTAAAAATAACAAAAGATTTATAGAGTTCACACGCATTAAAGACTTGGTCTTCAGAGTGCTGCTGCTGGATGGTGTTGGAACTTTCAGCAGGTGAGACCTAGTAGGAGACTCTTAGGTTATTATGGGGCATGCCCCCTGAGCAGGACTCCTCCTTTGCTTTGTTGCATGCTCTCCATCACTGCCATCAGGCACTCCTGAAGTCCAGTAC